AATTTTGGCTTAGTTGTCAGTGTGAACGCACTACGCCCTAATATCGCGCACTAAAAGTGCGCAAGTGCGCGATTTCAGACACACCCCATGGTCAAAGTCAAATTACATCAATGAGTCTGTTCTCCATGCCAGAGAGTTGGCAGATTGAAGGCTGTACTCATGATGTTATGGTACAAAAATCATATCCACAATGTCACGTAGTTACAGTATGTTATGTGTTAACATTATGTTTTCTGATTACCGTACCTAATGTCAGGATGTAGAGATAGAACAATACAGGACCAAATACTGATCCCTGTGGCACACCAAATTTGACCAGTGATATTGATGATGGAGTACATTTATCGGACACCTGAACATATTGATTCTGATTGGTCAAATAGGATTTAAACCACTTCATCATCATTCCACACAACCTAACATCAAATTAGAGTCTATGTAATAGACCAGAATGGTCAGCCATGTTGAAACCCACACTAAGGCCCAAAAGCATTGTGCTGCAGTCACAAAAAGAAACTGTGAATGCTGTAAGATGTTGCCAATGAATTAAAACATCTAAATGATACGCTGTGTGATACTGAAGTTGTAACGCTGTTCCATTTGGTGGAAAATTTGGTGGCTCAGGGTCAGGTTCATCTTGCCTAAGCTCTTCAGATACCGGCAAGCCACGATTTTGTGCCAGATTATGCAACACACTACATGCATGTACAATGCGACACACTTTTTGCGGACTGCATGTATAGCAGCACCCCAGCAGTCTTGTCCAGGCAGCGCCAGCAGCCTTAAAGCTGCCCTACAGTGTGCTCCACCACCGCCGAGCCCGAAAATTGGGGGGCAGCATTATAACGCCGCTCCTCTGCATTCTATGGGTTTGCTAGCGGCATGAGAAGCCACGACTTCAGTGGGTAACAACTGTCCCCTAAGGAATTGTCAAATGGTTAAATCAAACAAAGCTTACAGTATTGGGCCAAATTATAAAATGGGAAAAATCGAGCAGCCAGCCATCACGTACCACCCCATTTTCAAGTTTGTTTCCAACACTATTGTTTCTGAAAATGAACAAATCATGGGTTGAGCCATCTAATCACAACATTAATGCAGGTGTATCATAAGCATTTTGAATGGGGGGGGACACACTGGCATAAAACTTATGTTTTATGTTAAATGTGGGGGATCCAAACGAATAATCATGAAATGTGAGGGGGACACGTACCTACCAGATTTAATGGCGGCGACGCCCATGCATTAATGAGATGTTCGAATCGCACATATTTTGTACATTAATAGAGTGAAAGTTATCGCGTTAAATCAGTGCCAAAACTGAAGCTGTCACGTGACTCAGCGGCGCCAGGCTAGCAAACAGGCGCGGGTGCACACACACACACAGAGACACACACACACACTATAATATTTATAATAAAGTATTATAATAATGGGTCGCTGAGTCGTGCTCGCAATAATTAAACAGCACGGATAGTTCGGGGTTTAATCATCAGATGACGTTTATTACACCCGCACTACTACAACCCACACACCGGCACTGCTCACCGTGCACGTCGCCCCGTTTACTCCTCATACACACGGTGGGCGCACGCACACATACACACACTACATACAACAATAAACATTAACCACTATACATGACATAACACACAGCACATTTATAATCACACAAGCGATTACTCTGAGAACTATTTACAAGCTGGCATCAGTCTAACATGCCGCGCTGCTGGCCGGTACCTCCGCACTACAGTATTTATTTACTTATAAACTTTGTCCAAATTCTGTCCTGGGTTTTACCTAATAAAAAAAAAATCACAAAAACACTTAAAGGTAATGAAAATTAATTCAGCTTTAGCAATTTGATTATGCATTCTCCTTATTTATTAAGAAGTATAGGTATCGTATCGGAGATACTTTCCCGGTATTTACTTGGTATGGCATCGATACCAAATCTTGTAGTATCTCACACCACTAGCTCGCGTCTGCACAGCACTCACTTGCTCGACAGGATGAATTTTGACACTTTGAAGGCGAGAACAGTGGCTAATATCTCCGCTCCTTTGTTTTTTATTTTAAATATTGACTACGATTGGCTATTTGCTTTGGTAGAAGATGAAGATAACTTGCCACTGACCGCGGTTAAGTTATACTCATATTCGATATTCAGATTATTTTGTCTGTAATAGTTATTAATTATTATATTGCGTCCACTTAAAGTGCAATGGGGCAACAACTAAGGGGTTAATAGCTCTAAAACAAAATGGGACAGCCATGTCCTATGGAGTGTGCTTTCATCAGTGGACTCTGGGTGATAATGCGCACACACATTGGATTTTCAAGATCCACTTTAAATGTGACGAAACACGTAACCAAACAATTCAACTGCGGTACATTTGCTTTGTCTCACGGTGCACTGCCTAAATCACACTTTACAACTTATTTATGGGTCGCTGCAAATTGCGCTTTAATCTTTGCCTGTTCAACCACAGTGTAAGGAAATTTGATATATCTGGGTGACAAGCGGATTATGCCGTCCCATATAGCTGGCATGGCTGATGGCCATCACCTTACAGATTAACAAAAAAAATTCAATCAGATAATGTAAAATATAATGTCAGATGAGGACATACAATTCAACAGATTACATGACATGAATAGTATAGATCGCGGAATTTCGTCCGACGGAACGATCTTTTGGGAATCTGTTCCCACACGTCGGACGTTCTTTGAGACAACGCTGAACTAAGCCAGACGGTTAGCCTGGTCCGAACCAGGCTTGTTCGCAGGCCTAAATTACCATGGTAATTCAGCGGGGATTCATTTAAGACACGTTGATGGAACGGAACTCTCACTTAAGTAAGACTGACTTGTCGAAATAAGTCAGACTTTCCCTTAAGCCTGCTTCATGGTATACCCCCCTGGTCCATACAAATGTACTTGGCAACAGCCCTGTTGAACTTTTGTGCCTCTGGTGATTTGGCACTGTATTTCCGCTGTTGTTCAAACACTGCTGGTAGGGTGGGTTGTGTTTGTGGCTGTTTAGGTTAGTGGTGTGCTATACTACAAGATTTGGTATCGATCCGATACCAAGTAAATATAGGGCAAGTATCGCCGATACGATACCGATATCGATACTTTTTAATAATTAAGGTGGATGCATCATTAAATTGCTAAAGCTGAATTAATTTTCATTACCATTAAATGTTTTTGTGTTTCTTTTTATTAATTGGTTAAAACCCAGGGCAGAATTTGGGCAAAGTTTATGAGTAAATAAATACTGTACCGCAGAGGTACCAGCGGGCAGCGCCAAATGTTGGACTGATGTCAGCTTGTGAATAGTTCTCAGTAATCGCTTGTGTGATAATAAATGTGCTGTGTATAGCGGTTAATGTTTACTGTTGTATGTAGTGTATGTGCATGTATGCGTGCGCCCACCGTCTGTATGAGGAGTAAACGGGTCAATGAGCATGGTGGGGAGTGCCAGTGTGTGTGATTGCAGTGGTCCAAACAATGTTAAAAAAAAACAATGTGTCCTGCCCCAATCGTCCGCTTCTTCCGTGTGCCACACCCCCTCATTAACCCCGTGTGGAATCCCCATGTGATCAGCTGTTTCTGGTTCTCCTCATTAGTCCTCTGTATTTCCTCTGCATTTCAGTTTGTTTCCCCAGTCCGGTCATTGTATTGTCCGTCTGCGTTTTGCCAGCCTTGCCTGTAATTAAACCCCGTATTCCCCGATACCCTGACGTCTGCACCTTTGTCTCAGTTCCATCCCTGCTCTGCCCGACAATATTGTTATAATTAAATGTATTAATGGTTTATTGTTAATATTNTTCTCAGCTGTCACAAATGACTGCATATGCTTAAATCTTTTGCTTTTATTATTATTACTACTACAAAAATGCTTGCAGTTAAACAGTGAAAAAAGCAACAATCTGAACAAAAATGTCTCGAACTACAAAATATAACTGTAATCAAAAAACTAAACCGTACTACCCATTCGTTTATAGATTGGAAATGAATGCAGGGTGGCTAAAGAAGGCACCATATATTTTTATGTGTATTGAGATAAGCATTCACAGCAGGTTATTTCTGATACTGAAGTAAATTGTTTTGTTTGGTTTAAGCCAGTGGTTCTCAAACTTTTTCTGTCATGCCCCCATTTGGAAGCAGAAGAAACCTCATGCCCCCACCCCCACCTAAGCAACCATCTTTCAGATCAGCCAGACACCCCACCCTCACATTTTTAATTTATTGATATAACATCACAAACAATTTCTATTAAACTATTGAACTGTCTTTAAGCAAAATATATCAAGAAGATGAATTTGAATTAATGCAGTAAGAGCAATATCAGCTAGGCAGACCTCACCGTCTTTTAAACTTCGGTTTTAAGTGATTACCTTAAGACGATGTCTTTGTCTTAAAAGTGTTGCCTGTTTTTCATTTCATGTCAAAAATCTGTCCATTTTAGAATTTAAATGGTCAAGTTGTCAAGATTCTACAGATTTGTAGGTTAGTTATTACTCACACGTGAAATGGATTTGTCATTTTTTCCTGGCTACAGGCATGCCCCACAGTTTGAGAACCACTGGTTTAGATGCATCTCAGTCTGTGACATTTACATCGTATGGCCATGAAATAGCAGCAAAGTTAAAAAATTGTGACTGTCACTGGTAAAACATGACACTTGACACCCATGGTTCAAGGTACGAGACAGTAGTCACTCACTGCGTAGATTTTGTCATTAAAAGCAATGACTCCAAGGCCATGCCGGGCAGTTCTCATTGGCGCAATCGTGGTCCATTGGTCAGTAAGTGGGTCGTAGCACTCAGCAGTAGATAGGAATTCGATCCCATTGAAGCATAAGAGATGTGGAAAGAGTAAATGCAAATTTTGCTATTTCATGTTGAATCCATACATCTATCTCCCATCAAAAGTTTATTTACTACAGGGTCATGGTGAACAATGTACAAGCTGGGGGATTTAAACATCATTGTGACACAAACATCAAATTACATGCTACGGATAGTGCAGCAAGACCAGTTCATGTATCTCACAAGTCTTGGATTGTGGGAGGAATTTCACAAACACAGAGCCTGATCGGAACTCATTTACTCATGCTATTAAACTATGAAACCACAGTGCTACTCAATGTGCCACTAATGCAGATCAGTTATGCAAAGTGATTTAAGTTTCATCCAAATACTTAAATTTAGTGAAGTTGGCAATTATATACTAAAATCTGTCATTTGAATAGAAGGAGACCTGCTGAATGTGTATAATAATCAAATTCTTGGGGAAAATGAGAGTCAACACACCCAGATACCCCTACATTAACCCACCTTGCCATGTATGGTGGTGGCACTGGCGTCACTTCGCCACTCATTCATGGGCTTGATAAGGCTCCATTTGTTGGTCTCTGGGTCATACCGCTCAGCCGTTTTGAGGTCTCCGTGGCCATCAAAGCCGCCCATGGCATAAATATAGCCATCTAGCGTGGCCACACTCACTTCACAGCGGCGCGAGAGCATCGGGGCCACCTGGTGCCACGTCCGCGTGATGGGGTTGAACTTGCTGACGGTGTTCAAGCAGGTTCCGTTGTAGCAGCCCCCAATGTAGTACACAAACCCTTTGAGATATACAACCCCATGGTAGGCGCAGGGGATGTCCCCCTCCTGCGTGACGTCCAGCCAGCGGTCGACCCGGGTGTCGTAGGCCTCAATCCCATTGACCGGGCTGTCGGTGGAACCACCAGTGGCCAGCAGGATTGCAGAGGGCAGACGTGGACGGGTCAGTGGGTTTTGAAAGTCCGAATATGGTGGAACATTAATTTCCAGCTCATATATGGACTTCAAAACCTCACTAATGATGACCCTGCACTCCTCACTGGCCTTCACAAGGTCATTGTTTTTTACAGTCCTCATGAAGTCTTCAATGTTCATACGAGCCATTCGCACCTACACAGGAAATCAGATAGAGACACTTGTTTCATGTAAGACATTTGAGTGTCTTATGTTGCCCGTTAATTTGTTTCTCAGGGTGTACTGCCGATGGTAATACTTGGAAGTCTACGTTGTAGACTCAGTGGACATGAAAATGAAGGTTTAGTTTCTATCTACAGTAATAAGAACTAGGAACTTCACTTAATTTGCGTTCTATTGTTATTTCCACATGTCATTGAGAACATTGTAAAATTATAGTCACCTTG